CTCCCCATCCCCAGCCTGTGTCTTAACTCTTGGCTGATGCTTGTTGAACCAAATGATGAAGAGTCCAGAAGCTCCATTACTGGAAGGACAATGGGTTGTCAATATATGATGGGCATGACCCCCCAGAAGGCACAGTGTCCTGGCCGAGCCCTAGCGTGATGGAAGGGGTGGGGAGGAAGTCTTTAGAAGGACACCTGGCAGGACAAACAGGACCACGAGGGCTGGACCAGCATGAGTCCACAGAAGTGGCAGGAGAGAGTTGGCCTCACCCTGGCGAGAATCAAGAACTGTTGGCAGAGCAGGGAGTAAAGGACCAAGCCTTGGGGAACCCCACCTCGTTGAAGGCATGTGTGGACAAAGAGGTGCCCAGGAAGGCGACCAAAAAGGAACGTCACAGAGAGAGGAGGAAAGGGAGACCAGGAGACAGCCAAGTCACAGAGATCAAAGGAAGGTGTCTCAAGATGGAAGGTGTGACCCCTGCAGTCAGTGTGCCCCAGAGAAGGAACCACAGGGGAAGGGGCAGTGTGATGATGATGGTGCCATGCTCTGGGCACTGCTCTAAGTCCTGAGGGTCTTCACCCCTTACCAGGGCCCCCACGTTACAGAAGACGACAAGGATCCGGGTGAGGAAGCCGAGCAATGGCTCTTGAAAGGCCTTTCTCAGAGGGTCATCATCCTAAGGCTGTGCTTACCTGCATTTCCTACTGGCTGTGACCCCCCTGATAGCAGGGACTGTCCTTTCAGCACCGAACCGGCACTGTGCTTGGCCTGGCTAGGCGCCCGCATAATGCTCAAATATTAGCACCATCATGGGCACCGCCCCCTTCTCTCCGTCTTCCTCCCCTTCCCCAGTGGGTGCTGATGGAAGGAGGGCAGTGTTACAGCTCAGAGCACAACATCTGTCAGGCAAACTCTGCCATTCACTGCCTTCTTTAACACACCCGAGCCTCACTCTCCACACCCATAAAATGGGAACGATCAGGAGGGGAAAGCTTTTAGCCCAGAATTTTGTACAAAATAAGGAGCTCTGGTGGCAAAGTGCCTAAAGCGTTTGACTGCTAACCAGAAGGTTGGTGGTTCAAGCCTACCAGCCACTCCATGGAAGGAAGACTGGCTAATCTACTTCTGTAAAGATTTACCACCTTGGAAACCCAAAGGGGGTCACTATGAGTCGAAATCAACTCGATGGCAGTGAATTTGGTTTTGGTTTTGAACTAATGCTTGTAACTATTTTCTGTCAACTGGTTCCTTCTAGGACGTGATGGAAGGATGGAAATGTGATTCTAAATGGTGAATGGGTCACCATCGCCCTCTCCTGGCCAGTGGTGTGTGTACAGTCCCCCCATTCGCCCCCAATCGTGTAGGATTCAGCCCCAGCTGCCTGCTCAGAGCGGTCCTGCGCTTTCAGACTCAGGCAATCCCACGCTCAGATGTCACAGTTCAGTCAAGGCCATAGTGCTCAGGAGACCACACTGCTGGGACCATCAGGCTGCTGTTCCACTCTTCTCCTTCTGCCCCCCTTGTCTATTATGGCAGCTGCACGGTCACCCACGGGGGACCATGGCAGAGCTCCAAGCATGCCATTCTACTGCCCCTGTGACTCTTCCTAGACACACCTGAATTTCAGGGCAATCCAAGGTCCCCACCAGGATGATGCAGTGCCCATTGGGCCCAGAGGGCCACCTCCAGGAAGCCCTCATGAACTGGGGCCCCAGGCACCATTGTGCCACAAGCCCCAGGTCACCAACGTTGGAGGAAGAGGACTGATCCCGCCATCCTGAGCTGCCCAAGACGAGCTGACAACACACTGAACCCAGCACTGGGCGTCTGGGTCCAGCCCTGCCCTACCACCTGGTGGCTGAGTAGTGACAGCCTGGGTGCTTAGAACCCAACACACGTAGGGAAGAAACACAATGAGGTGGGCACCCTTGTCTGGATCCCAGAGTAGGGGCTAAATTGTGGAAGAGCCCTCCCCCTCGCTCTAGAGGCAGCAAAGCCTCACCCCATGCCCTTGAGAGGGTGGGGATCGCTGTCTCGGGACCAGGCCCACTGCTCCTCCCTCCTTGGCTGGGGTGTCTCAGGCCAGAACCTTCCCTTTCTGGGCCCTGGGTTGGAGTCACCCACACTTAAGTGAGGGCACTCCTCCCCCTCCCACCACGCACTGGTCCTCATTAGATCCTCTCTGACCCAGCCCTCAGGTGCCAGGCACCTTTCACAGACCAAGTTCACTGCCTGGGCCCCACCTTGGCCCAGGGAAGCCCCAAACTGGCCACACGTGCACACCCTTCAGACTTTGTAGCTGTTTTATTGTTAATAGCATCTTCTCGTTTAAGCATCCCTTTAAGGGTGAAATGAAATCCAACCATTTACAGATAAAATGATTTCAGAATGTACAGATTGATTTTCCTTACAAAAAAAATATTACTATTATTGATGTCCTTAAATTACACATTGCCCAGGGCCCGGCCTCTGCTTGGGCAAGGCCTGCCTCCCCCACCCTGACTGTGACCTTTGCCCCCAAAGCTCTCCCAAGCCCATCGTCGTCCCTGGCAACCAACACGGCCCAGGGTCGGGGCTGGCACTAGGCAACACAGCCAGGCCTCCTTGGTTCCAGGGGGAAGAAATCTGGACACAGTGATAAGGCCAGCCGTTCACTTTCACAGTTTGATTTCCCTTAATACTGGGGAGTAGCCCTTGCTCTCCTGCTGCCCCCCTTAATTGCCAGTGTTCCCTGCGATTATGTGTGATACTCCCCAGCTCCACACCAGGCCCCCGCCCCTCACAGCTGTCCTCTCCACCTGCTCGTCAGGCTTCCTGCTCTTCCTTGACCTGCCCCTGGGCCACGGACCCCTGCAAGCCAGGGAAGGGGTCAACCGGCAGCAGCTGAGGATGAAGTGTGGTAGGAGGGAGGCCCCGGGCTGGGGAGGAGGTGACAAGGGAGGGGATAACACTGTCCCCTGAGTGCAGCCCCCAGATGGTCCCTCCGTGGGTGAACAGATGCACCTAGAAGTTGGGCCAGGCCTGGGCTGACACAGTCCCAGGGACAGTCTGACCTCTTGGGCCACCTCTCAGCCACAAGGACCAGAAAAGAATTCCCTCAGGGGCAGCCCCCACATAGGAGGGAGAGAGGGGGGCACCAGAGCCCTCCAGCCTGCTTCATGCCTACCCACCAGAGGCTGTTGGCTTGTCAGCTCCCGACATCACACTGAGCTGGGCATCTCCCCAAGACAGCAGTGGCAAAGGAGACACCTCCTCTCCTGGTCCAGAAAGTCTCAGCTGGAGGTTGGGGTGAGGGGTATGGCTGGGGAGAGGAGAGGTTGGGAGGTAGTGGGCGCTCAGCTGAACAACTGAGTCAGGACACTTCTCATTCCTTCCAAGGAAAAAATGAGTGACAGACAGACAGACCCCTGCCTCCTCTTTAGACTTGCTTGCCAGGCTCCCCAAGGGCTTCCAGCCTCAGCCATCTTGGGAGGCTGCAGGAGATGGCCACAGGCTTGGGGCCCCGGGGAAGGGGATGCCTAGGCCCACTCCCACATCCACACATGAGCATGTAATTACAGAGACACATCAATACAGACATGTACAAATACACACCAAGCATGCACCCATGCCCATAAATATACACACACACACAAACATGGACCATTCCACAGGCAGACGTCGACTCCCGGCCTCACTGGGTACATGTCTGAGGGGGCCTTCACCTTCCCCACCCACTGCGAGCTCCCATCATGCACCAGCCCTGGCTGTTCCAGAAGCTCTGAAAAACGAAGGCAGGAGCCTGAGACTGAAGTGCCCATCTCCCCCTCCTCCTGTGCCAAAGATGCTACTTGTCCCCCATAACCGTTCCCTTTTTCCAAGTAGAGGCTGGGTCCGTGGCAGCCCAGCTTAAAACTACATTTCCCAGCTTCCCTTGCACCTACTTGTGGCCATGTGACTAGGTCCTGGCCAATGAGATACAACCACAAGTGACTATGCCACTTCTGGCCCCTGCCCTTAAAAGAAGTGTGCTTCCCTTGCTTTTCTCTGCTTCCCTGTGGCTTGGATGTACAAGTGATGGCTGGAGCTGCAGCAACCAGTCTGCATCCAGAATGTGAAGGTACATGGAGGAGGGCAGAGCTGTCCTGCCAGGTCTGGACTATCTCCCTCTTTAAAAGTTCTAAATTAAAAACTTTTCATTCTTTTAAACCACTGTATTTTGTGGTTTCTTCATTACAGTGGCTTAGAATCTACCCCAACAAATATACTCCCTGTCCCCCCAAGGCAGACTAAGAGGAATGGGATGACATACAACTGGCGTTAATGTCCCTTCTTTGGCCCAGGTTAGCCTCATGGTCCCTTTCTGGTCCCTAGCCAGCCTGAAGGAGGGGCCCAGGGGCAATTCCACCTGAGACAGCAGAGAGCTGGGGTTGTGGGTACCGGCAGGGAGGGGTGATGGGAGGCAGGGTGAACGATCAGAAGCCTCAACGTCAGTCTCTTCCCTGCTCACCTCCCAGTCCTGACCTGCTTGTCTCCCACCCCACCTGAGCACTGCGTCCCGGCCCTGCAGGCATTGAGTGGGCAGCCCATGAAGAGCAAAATATAAAAAGTAGGAAGGGAAGTTGAGGCCAGGGCTGCGAGCCGCCCCAGTGTCAGCCCTGAAGGGCTGGTGTCCCAGAGTGCAGCAGGGACCCCTTCTCCCTCTGGCCTGCAGTTCTCCAGAGCCCCACCAACCTTTCCTCCCAGCTAGATGCTGCTCTCATCCCCTCCCACCCGCTGTCACTCTTCCTCCTGGACCCAAATGCATTGATGATGTCCAGAGCCTGAGACCTCCCGGCACTCCCTTTCTCCTCGCAGCTCCAATGCTCCCAGATGCCTAATGGCTGGCTTCTCTTGGCTAGGGCCCCAGCTCCCACGCCTTGCCTCTGCTGAGTTCTGGCACACTCCCCTTCCTGCCCTGCCCACCCACCCCTGCTCCCCAGCATCCATCATGCGCTCTCTGTTGGCACCTCCTGGCCACACTGTTGACCCGCAAAAGGGCCACGCAGACATCTGGGCCTGCCCCCCTCTTCTGACCAGGAAACATCTTGTTGAGCTCAAAGGTCTGGCCCTTGATTCAGGAGGGCTTGAGTAGGGAAGAACCCCACTTACTCACCCACCCACACACTCCTCCTGGTCCTCTCAAGAACCCCCAGGGATGGCAGGAGGAGGCAGGAAGATAATGCTCGGGGCAGCCGCGACCCCCACCCGCCACTGGCCCAATTAGATCATGCAGCCTTAGCCTTCAACCATGTCCAACTCGCCCCTGGCCAGCGGCCTGCCCTCGGCTTCCTTGTTCTGCTGGGCACCAGCCGCGGTACTCCTGGGCTCCTGGTAGGGGTTTTCCAGCAGGTAACGGAACCGATGGTAGTTCTTCAGCAAGTACTTAGGGGCGTACATGTGTTCACTGGGGTCGGCCGGTGGGTACTCCTGCTGCGTGCCATCAAACCAGCCACCGGTGCGGATCAGGCTCCGGATGTAGTTGAGGTCCCGTTTGTCCTCGTAGTCCCCCCAGCGGGGGAAGTCACCATTCTGGGCAGACACAAGTTTGAAGTAGATGCCCTCTGGGCTGAAGCACCAGGAACAGTGCCAGCCGGCGAAGTGCAGCGGGCTGCCCAGTGACCACTGCACCAGGATGTGGCCCGTGCGGTTCTCGTACTGCCGGAAGTTGGGCATGGTGTAGTACTGGCGGCGGCGCAGGCGGATGCCATCCAGCGCGTAGACCGTCTGCAGCATGTCCACGGTGCAGCCCGACACGACCTCCAGGGTGCCCGGCTGCTTCCAGAAGAAGCCGTAGAGCGACTTGCGCATGTGGAAGGCAAAAGGTTCCGTCCAGCCGTCGTACAGCTTGAGGAAGAGGACGCCGTCGCGGGCGGGGATCTCGTCGGCATCGTCGATGATGAAGACGTCGTCCGGCCGCAGGTTGCGCAGCCGGGACACACCATCCTGCGTCAGGAAGGTGCGCAGGTAGTCGTCGGCGATCCAGCCGTCCTGCCGCCCCCCCAGCGGGAAGTGGTCCAGGAAGACGTACAGCACCTTATGGCGGATGTACTCAAAGGTGCCGTTGGTCAGCATCTCACGGAACTTGAGCGGCCGCGGCTCCCCGTAGGCGGTGAAGTTGGACTCACACACCACAAAGGCGTCCACCACGTCCCCCAGCTCGTGGAAGCGCACGTCCAGCAGGTCGAACTCGTGGTTGATGTTGATGGCGTTGATGACCCGCCGTGGAACCTCCCTGGGCACCAGCCGCTCCTTGGTAGGCAGGTTGGAGTGCTGCACCACGGTGGGCACCCCGCAGCTGGGCCCGTGCCAGCCGGGCAGGCACACACACTCCACCCACTTGCGCCGTGCGCCCCGGCTCCCGGGCGGCCGCTCTCTGGCGCTCAGCAGGTGCCGAGCAGGGCCCCGGGCCGAGGAGCCATCCCCACCCTCTGGCTTCTCCTCCGGCCGCCCCGGTGGCAGCTTCTCCAACATCTTGGTACCTGGCTTGAAGCAGACACCCCCGGCTTTGGTGCGGACGAAATACTCGGTGGTGTCCTCGGGTAGCACTAAGCTCACCCGGTGGAGCTCCTCGGTGGCCTTGCTTGGGGACAGCGGCTGGAGCAAGGGTGAGTGGGAGTAAAGTGGTGTGCGCAGGAGGTCTGGGCCACCCGGCTCGGGGCTGGACTGGGGGGTGACGGGGGCATTGTTCCAGAAGAAGCTTGACACCAGGTTAGGGCTGAGGGAGGCCAGTTCACGAGGGAAGGTGACATAGGAAAGAGTCTTAAAGAAGTGCAGGAAGGAGATGAGGCACAGGCCGGCCATACAGAACATGAGGAAGAGCTTATAACGTCTCATCTTCATCCTGCAGAAGAGGGAGAGAGCAGAGGTCAGAGACCTGCACACCCGGACCACGCCGCCGGAGGCCTTCTCCCAGGCAGAAGGCCTTCGCTGCCACCGTGTGTATCAACGTGCTGGCCAGCGCCTGCCCCCTGCTTCGTGTTGCCTCCTGCCTTGCAGGAATCATGCCTGTAAATTTAACCCCCAGAAGCCCTGACATGGAGGAAATGTCCCTCGTGGCTGAGCCAGGACCCTCCTTCCCTGCCCACCCCCATCCCTGAGGGCTGGCTGGGAGACCCCAGGCCGCTGCACACCCCTCTGCAGCCCGCTCCTCCTCTGCCCTGCCCCACCCTGCCTGTACCAGCTGCATCCTAGGCTTCTCTCCAGGAACACAATGCATCCTGGGAGAAGCTCAACTCTGCAGCGTAAAACCTGCCCAAGGGGGGTTCCAGGCCCAGGACGGGGCCAGCCGGCTGCTCACTGTTGGGGCCCCACCCTGCACTGCCCCAGGATGCTGTCCTTGTCCCAGTTATTGACTTCTTTATATGTTTTTGGAAGGTACATTGACAAATCTTTTGAATACTTTATTGGAAACATTTGCAGGTCTCAATGGAACACATTAACATACTTAAAACAATTAAGTCAGAGTCCCCCTTCATCACCCCAGTCCCAATAGGAGACTGACCCCCAGGCACAAAAAACCGCTACTGTGAAAATGGCATGGGGGCATCTGACTTCTTTTAACTTCAGAAGGGAGAGAGAGAATCACCATTAGCTTCAGCCCAAGCTGATTCCTATGAAGCAGAGGTAAGACATACCTCACCCTCCAACCTTTTTAGCAATTCTGACACCAACCATCCCCACACCGAGTACTCACTACTTCTCTGCTGGGTTCAATAATTCGTTGCAATGGCCACACAGAACTCACAGATAATACTCATGACTATGGGGTTGTTTTGAACAGTTAAGGGAGACAAACTTGTCTGCCAGTTTGTCTTACTGTGGTGGCGTGTTGCTGTGAGTCTTGAGGCTGTGCCACTGGTGTCTCAGACCCAGCAGGGTTGTACACGGTGCACAGGTTTCAACAGCTTACAGACTGAGACAGACTGGGAACTTTACGAATAGCCTGGAAACATTGTCTGATACAGTGCAGGACGATAAGTCACTTATGTTGGAAGGCTCTCAAAACAGGACCAGGGAAGAGCTGCATCATCAGAGTAGAACCAGCCTTAAGGATATGGATAAGGTAAAGCTTTTGAGACCTCCATTTGCTGACGTGGCATGACTCAAACTGAGGAGAAACAGCTGCAAATGTCTATTAATAATCAGAACATAGAATGTACTAAGCATGAATCTAGGAAAATTGGAAGTTGTCAAAAATGAAATGGAA